CCAAAGTGCACTCGCCCTCGGTGAGGAATCGGAAATCTGATGTAATCTGATGTTGATGGCCTCCGTGAGCCCGCTCGAGACTCCGCACTGCAGGCACGCGCAGCCAATGCAGCCGCCTTGGTAATAGCCCCAAAAGGGCAGGTAGCATCCGTCGGCCCATGGTGTATGGAGTAAGAGTCTGGAAAGTAGCCGCCTGTCGGAAAAGGCATAGGCCCCTATCGCATAGGGGTCTATCGGAAACGCATAGACCCCTATTCCCAGCGGCCTACCTACTAGGCCAGAGACCCCTGTCGATAAGGGGTGTATGGGGAATCGCATAGGTACCTATGGCCAGGGGTGTGTCACAGGTGGGATAGGGGTCTATACATAGGGGTCTATGGCTGGGGGATAGACCCCTATAAGGCGCATAGACCCCTATCGTTTTGCGATAGGGGTCTATACACCCGCTCCTCCCTGTATAAGGGAGTGTGCAGGAAGCAATGAATCAAATGCATACGCACAAACAACTGCACAGCGAAACTCACAGGAACGGCTCGTTCTGCAGTCGGTCCGTCGGTCGCTACACGAGCACGCCGGTCTGTCACTCAGTCGGTCGGTTGATCCATGCACCGAGCGCCATGCAGACAGTCGATCGTCCGTCTGCCACTTTTTGTGATATAGGAAGAGCCGGCATCGCCAAATGAGGGGTGCTTAAGATATATGGTAAACGGGAATCGCCACATGACGGGGCGTGTTTCAGGTATGTGGTGGACCGTTTGTCGCCACATGTGGTGGGGGCATGTTTAGGAAAGATGATGAACCGGCATCCAGTGAGGGGGGCGTGTTTAAAATATACGACGACCTGTTATCGCTAAACGAGGGGGCGTGTTTAAGATATATGATGAGTCGTTATCGCCAAATGAAGGGGCATGGTCAAGAGATATGATGAACCGGAATCACCAAGTAAGGAGGCGGCGTGTGTAAGATAAATGGCGAACCGGAATCGCCACATGAGGGGCCGCATTTAGGGGCCGTGTTTGATATATGATGAACCGCTATCATTAGCAAAACATGCGAATGTAGCGAGCGATAGTGTCCATGCACACTCACAGACAGCTGCGCAACGAGGTCATATGTCAATTCATTCGAAGGTCTTGTTCCGCGCTTGGACAGGGCAAAGAAGTAGGGTTTGTGGAAGAACCGTTCAAGGGTCATATGTCAAATCATTCGAAGGATTTGTTCCGCGCTTGGACCCGTTCAAGGGTTTGGGTATCAGGGTTCTGAACCCTGCTTCGGCAAACCCTACTTCCTTCACATTCCCGCATGCTCTGCTACTCCAGTGGCTGCATGAGATGGAGGCTCCTAGCTGCGAGAAAGCCGTGCACGAAAGCTAGTAGGTCGTGGCTACTGCACAAGTCAAAAGTGCTTCAAGCAGGACAAGGGGCCTCTTGCTTGAGAGATAGGCCCTATCGCGATCGGGATAGGGGGCTATGGAAAATCGATAGGGGCCTATGCTGCATCGGGGGCTAGCCTAAGTAGAGATAGGGCCTATCTATAGGGGTCTGTACGAAGTCCCGCAGGGGTCTATCAGTGAGGGCCTATCGGAAAATGCATTGGGTCTATCTGTAGGGGTTTGTGGCCGCGGGAGGGGTGGGGCGCATAGGGGTCTAGAGGAAAAGCATAGGGGTCTGTATAGGGGTCTATGGACGCCTATGGTAGGGGGCTACTTTCCACACTCATCGAGGACTTTATCCTGGACCACCGTAATCGCTGCCACCTGGATTTCCACGCTAAGCTCCCGCTCTTGAATCTTGTGTTTGCCCACGGAGTACTCAAAGTTCGCCTGGTTACCCCTGTTTCCCAAGATCGCGTCCCGAGTTGACCTCGGGACAGGGGACTCTTCCGCCTCCTTTTCGTCCTCTCCACTCTCAGTCACTGGCCTGCTGGCCAGCTCACGCCCACACTAGCCACGTCAAGCCGATGAACACCGAGTCTTCGTGAATCCGGCGCGGCTTGACCCGCTGATGGTGACTCGCTCAGCTGCCTTGGCCCAGCGATCGAAGATTAGAACCGGATTGTGCGCAGTCCTGTCCATGGAGCGGAACACCAGGTAGATGTGTGACGATCCGTCCAGTTTCCGCCCCGAGACTCCACGCTGCGTCCCTTCCAGACAAGCCCGAGTCCAAGCCCCAATGCCCCGCAAAAGTCAATCTCGATTCCTGGACTGCTCTCAACAGGAAAAAAGGTTCGGATCACTTGAGGAGTAAGGGGAAGCGGAGATGAAGGCGACCTGGTCCCTCGGTTCGAAGATGGTGCCTGTCGCCCTATTTCAAGCTGACTGATGTGCCGCTTTAGCCGTCTGATCACTCCCGAAGCCTCGTCCAACTCGGAACGATGAGGGCCAGACTCACTCATATACCTAGAGGCCGCGATAAAGAGCTCGACCTGTCCCGAAGGAGGGCCGAAGTAGAGCCAACTTAGCACCGACATGCAGTTACACGAGCACTCACACACACATGCAGTTGCAAGCACAAACCTTCATTTTCGCAGCTTCTGCTGCCGGGGCTCCCTTGGCCAACGGGGTCAAGTGAAGCAAGAGTGCACACGAAGATGCAGCCCCTGGGCGGGGGCCCCGATCCAAACACGACGGGGTGACCGCAGGTGGCTTCAAACACGTGAAGCACTCTCCCCCGAATATGATACAGTATCTTACGTCACTCCGCGCAGTCTTTGCCACCGGATGTGAGGGAGGGCGGGCGGGCGGGTGCAAGATTTTATACCTCACCTGCCGCCTTGCACGTGCAATGACATCACACTCGCAGTCATGTTATGCAACCCTCGAAAGCATGCACAGCAACACACGGGAGCACTTGGGCCGCAAAGTCACACGGACGCAATGACTGCAACTGCAAGCTTGCACACGAAAGTTTGTATACGCGGTTAGACTTTTACCCGAGGCAGCCTAGCTTTCGTAGGAACAACCGCGACATAAGCAGTGGCCTCACCCCAACCTTAAAGAACCAAGTGATAGTCATCAGAGATGAAAAGTTCCAACATGAATCTGCCGACAATGTCTCTTCGATCGCATAAGCGTATGCTCCGCTCAATCTCTGAACGGCAACGCTGTTCACATGTTGATGCATTCTATTGCACAACAACACGCACTCACTTGCAGCACTGAAAGTTTTAAAGCAATGCCAAGACTGCAGCACATTCTAACATCGCCAAAGCAATCAAGCTTGACTGTCTCTCATGAACTGTTTGCACTCATGAATACTTGTTCCAAGATCTGCATGCCATAACGATCAAAGATCAAATTCAAAGTGCTCACGAAACATGCTGCAACTGCCTACTTATGAAAACAGACTCTTGGCGCTTTCACTCGAGCAGGCTTCAAGGATGTAGCACAACCACTTGATTGGTGATACTTGTAGTGAACATGAGCAGCACTTCCTCGTCTCCCCTACGTGGAGGAGGTCGTGCTGTCTGAGGCCGAAGCATGATTGGATGAGATCTTGTTACTTAGCCCTTTGTTACAGGGATGACACACACACACACACACACACCCAACTATGATGGGGAAAAGCCAGCTCACGAGTTTCTGCCTCTACTGTGATTGCTTCAACGCATGCTGCACAAGTTTCTGGACATCTAGGTTAATGAGACACCGAGGCTCCAGCAACATCACTGTGATCCAAGCAAACATGGTCAGCAGACAATGTCTCTTCGCTCGCATTGGCGTATGCTCAGCTCAATCTCTGAACGACGACGCTGTTCACGTTCACAGGTTAATGCATTCCCTTGCACAGCAACAGGCACTCACTTGCAGCACTGAAAGTTTTATAGCAGTGCCAAGACTGCAGCACATTCTAACATCGCCAAAGCAATCAAGCTTGACTGTCTCTCATGAACTGTTTGCGCTCATGAATAGTGGTTCCAAGATCTGCATGCCATAACGATCAAAGATCAAATTCAAACTGCTCACAAAACATGCTGCAACTGCCTACTTATGAAAACAGACTCTTGGCGCTTTCACTCGAGCGGGCTTCAAGGATGTAGCACAACCACTTGATTGGTGATAATGAAAATGAACAGCACTTCCTCGTCTCCCCTAGATGGAGGAGGTCGTGCTGTTTGAAGCCGAAGCATGATTGGATGAGATCGCAACTGCAAAAACTGCTGCTGAGAAGAGTCTCGGTTAAACCAAGAAAACATAAGTTTCCCTACGAGCCTCAAAATTCCGACCTGTCCGCGAAGTCAATGGCTCAATTTTCATGGGTCCTTGCTTTCAGGGGTCCTTGTCAGCTGTACACTCACGTGGAAAAATCATCTTTCATTCCTGATAGTCAGCAGGGTGACGTCACGGGGATGGAGCACTCACAACTTAAATCGTGACTGTGAGGAACTGTTATACTTTGACACGAACGAGCAAGCATTCAACCAAGAAAAGGAAGCGTAGCAAAGCAGGTGTCAACCATAATTTCAATCTTCACAATCTTCCCTTTGCTCCAGAGTCCGTGAAGTTACGAGCTTCGGACAAAGCATGCGACGTCAGTTTCGTGGAAGCAACCTTCCACTCAGCTGGCACCAACGAGCGAAAGCCATGCTGCACGACACTTGCTGAAGACGATCTTCCAACTCAATCTTCTAGTGTTGTCTAGATCTACTGCTTTGTTGTGTCGTCATCTCTCGATCGCGAATCTCACGGCTCATCTAAGCAGGCACAACACAAGAAAGACATGCACTGGCTGTGATTCAACAGCATGTTGTCACGCAAGCAAACACTGAAACCAATGTTAAGTCCACCAGGTATCCACTACGGGATCCAGGTGCGACTTTGCAGGTGCGTTTACACGTCCTTGCACTTCCGGTTTTTATTGGCCGAGGCACAAGTGAAGGACCCTCAGCCCCCTGCATTGTTACGTACTACCCTAGCCCTTTGTTACAGAGATGACACACGCACACATACATTCTCTCTCTTCTTCAGAACAGCGAGGGGGGTCGAAGTGTCTCCCGCTCTCTCACTCTCTCTCTTGCTTGCATGCTGCAGGTCTAGGGAAGGCTCGCTCTGTCTCTCTCTCTACTCTCCGAGCAAATGCCTCGTGGTGCTCCTGGTGTCGATCCAAAGCCTCAGTCAATTAATGCAGTCCGGGGGTTGTACCACATGACCTTGAGCCGTGCCAAGTAACGTCGATGTTGTGACCACGCTCCATCGCAGAGCTCCAAGCATGGCTCCCCCTTGCCGGGCGTTGCCCGCCTTGGCCTCAAGCTTGTCATGCCGGACGGGTGGGCAGGTGCCAACTTTGCTCGGGTCCCTGACCGCCGGAACTTGGGGAGTCCTGGAAGGTGACGCGTGCTGCACGGGTCCCAGCTGATCTGCCTCACTTAAGCAAAGTCGAAACACGTGATGGAGCGTTGATTCTTTCCAAGGTTCTGGGCAGCGTGGCTGCATGGTCACGGTCTCCGCGTCTGGAAGGGCTTGCACAGCGGCGCTGTGCTTTTTGCAAGGATGAGGCTGTGCCTCACGGGCGCAGGGCAACTAGATCATCTCGGGAACGGTTGTCGGAGCGGTGATCCGGCTTTCTGCCGGTATGCTGCATGGCACGTCTTCTGTGTTGTCCGATCTTCAGCTCGAAAGGAGTAGCAACCGCCCTCAACCGTAAAACAAAGGCTGACGAGCGGACAACACGATCAACCCAACACCCCCATCTTTCTTGACGAAGAAGAGGCCTCCGGTTTGAAGCTCGCTTGGTTCGCCACCATTCACAGCTATGACCACAGACTCCGTCAACCTGAGCGCTAGTCACTGGGGGTGGTTGGGGGTTCAAGTAACAGTCCACAATGACGAGGATCTCTGCAGCCGTCATGTACGACCGTCTGAGCTCCGTCCCCCGGCTCCGTTTGCACGTAGGACAGCTCGTCATGCTGGCGCCAATGTCGCGTTGACTACAGATCTGGCACGTCCACGGACGACCAGCACCGCGAGGACTCCTCGGCACAGGCTTCCAGCAGTGCAAAGAAGATGCGCCAGCTAAGCAGCTTGCATCAACGTGCCAGTTATGCTTGGCCCCGGCACACTTTGTGCACGATCACGTGGCTCTCTCCCTCGGTCGGAGCTGGACCTGTCCCCAACTCATCGACCCAGATGGCCAGCGGCCGACCACTCCTCTTGCACAGAATCGACGACAGGAACATCTGAACATCTCGCTTCTCTATTGATGCTTGCACTTGCTGGACCTAGCGGATCTTTCGCCCTGTGAGTAGCGAGGAACAAGCACTTCGATACAGCAAAATCTGTTTAAGAACGAATGCCCGCCCTTCTGAAAAGAGCGTCTTGCCCGGTAAAGAAGCCTCAGGTTGGGTACGGTGCCGGCAGGTGCTCCATAATGAGACCTCATGCACCTGAGCCGCGAAGTCTTCCAAGGAGCTTCGTACTCTTCCCTTTCGGTCCACGGGCCTCTCCGGTCCTTAACTGCTCTGACACTAAGGATAGAGCTGACCGCGGGAGACGAGGCGAGCAGACTGGCGGCCGCAGCGGCCCGGAAAGGAGGCGGGTCACGGGCCGACATCGAGGACTGAGACTGAGAAGTGCAGGGCTCGTGGCATAAGCTGGGCAGTGCACACACTGAGAACAAGGACCTGCAAGCCAAGCACTGCGTTGCATGCCACTGCACATGAGCTGTGGAGCTTGATAGCGGTACACTTGCATGCGTTCAAGATTGGTCTGAAATGTGTGCGAAAGACGGACAGCACGGTTTCTCAGAATTCAAGCTCAAACTCCTCCGAGTCTGCTGATCACGGCACAACCTGTGCACCTTCGTTTGTTCCCCTCACACGTGCAACACTGTGCCACTCAACACTGATCCACACTGCTCCTCTGTACTCAGGTGCTGGTCGGCAAGCGAATTGCCATCTGCCTGTCAACCGTGCATGGCTAAACGCAGCCAGGGCTTGCAGATCAACTGAAACTCCATGCCGGCTCACCGTGCGCTTCCGGGCTTTCCACCTTCCCTCTTGTTTTGACACAGCATTTCGAGAAGTCGCTCTTCTGCTGCTACGTAGTCACGGTTGGCGACAATCCTGGGACCTCTTCTTGCTGCAAATATTCGTCCAGAGTGAAACGCTGGTGCCCTGGAAAATGAGCACTAAAGACACCTTCCGAAGTGATGCCGACAATGCCCTCCCCGACAACCAGTAGGAGGTCTGACATTGGAACAAAAGCCCATTCACAGGGCAAGTTCGCCAAGCCTGGATCAAGTCCACGGGTAGACTTGGACCTGCCAGCCCAACCAAACGTCTGCGGTGTCTGAGCATCTGCTTTGAAAAGCCCAAGACTTCTGCTGTCACTCCCTTCCCACTTGAGGATGTGCTTCCAAAGGGCACCGGCTAATTTACGAATGTCGGGATGTGTCAGGGGCAAGGCAGCATCGAACCCACTGGGAAGCAAGGCAGCTATGGCCAAGCGCCAAGGTCTGACCCAGGCGGCGCAGGCCCGTGCTGCGTCACCATCTTTTGCATCCCATTGCCTACGATATGTAGGCCGTCCATCGGCCGTTCGCCCAGGCACACGTATGCTGCCCCCTTCCGCAACGTCCCACTTGCTGCGCATGCGCACTACTCCGCGCTTCACATCTGAGGGCTTGGAGCTGTCTGCATCACCCGTCACTTCGCCTTTCACGTCCTTCCCAGGCTTCGTGTCTCTGGGCCTTTCCTCTCGGCCCTCGCCGCGACGGTCACGTCGGTTACGGCGGCGGCTGCGGCTGCTCCGGCGGCTGCTGCTGCGCCGCCGCCGTCGTCTGCGACTTGCGCTGCGGCTTTGACGGCGTCGACTCCGGCTACGACTCGGTCGCTCACTCCGACTCCCTGCACGCCGCTCATCGCGAATACCAAAAAGCTTTCCTACGGGATAATCCACCATGCGCTCTAACTCCAAGGCTTTCTGTCGAATCTCGTCAGCATCTGCATGTTCTTTGACTAGCTGTACCGTTTGCTTGAACTTCCACTCCTTGCCTTCTTTCAGATTTAACTTCGCGACAACCTCCTGTGTCGCTTCCTCCATGAGCTGCATGATCCCAAGATGCAGCGTCATCTTGCCACGGTGCCTGAGCTTGTCGTGTGCTGTTTGAAACGTAGGCCCGGAACAGATTTGCCAATAGAACTCAAGGAGCTTTTGTGCTTTTGTCCGGCTGTCCAGCTCTGGCTCCCTGGCATCCTTGTTCTCTTCGTCCTCGTCAGCATAAACTCTCTCCTCTGCCGGATCTTTGCTGATGTCCCAGACGTGCACGGACAGAGAATCTCTAAACTCACGCCAAAGTCCAAGTTCTGGAAAATTCTGCATAATGGAATTCCATCCTGCTCGGATATGACCATCTCCGAACTGCCTGGCCTCAACAATGAGAAGGCGGTTTATGAGGCAGAGGAATTGCGCCCGATATCGCTTGGGAGCGCAATCATACGCGGTCCTTACGGACGTTGTCCCGAAGATTTCCAGCAATTGCGACTTTTGGAACCATTCGGAAGCCAACAGCAATGCCTTTTGCGAATTGACTGCGGCTGCACGATTCAAAGCAGGGCGGTCGATGTGGCCTTCACCGGCAGCGGCGCTGACCGTGTGGAGCACCCGGCAAGCTTCTGCAAAAATTGCTTCCTGCGGTCGCTCCAACATCTCTGCCGTCGTCTGGCGCCCTGCGAAAGCCACAAGTGTTTTCAACACGTCTCGCTGCTCCGTCAATCCTTGCCGGAGCTCATCGGCGGCCTCGGACAAGCGTTTGAAGGCAGCCCCTGCTGTCGGGATGTTGGGGTTCTTGTCCGGATGCAGGGCCCGCGCCAGCTGCCTATAGGCATAGGCCACATCCTGCTCCCCGTAGCCACCTTGGTGCGCACCACCCAGCCGCAGCACGGCCTGAGATCAAGAAAAGCACGCCGTGAAAATCCACGCTATGAGACAAGAAATAGCTACAGAACAGGCTTGGGTTTGGGATGCGAAAACGAGCCAAAGCAGCTGCTACGGACATGGCGGCTAAGGTGCCCCTGCACCGAGTACTCGGCCGTTGGAAGGGCAAATCCGCTCGACCTCATCAGCCGCTGGGCCGACTAAGATTTTTTCTTCCATGTGAGCTTCGACGACTGACTCCCGCAGTCGTTTCCTGGTGTCTCCATCGTCAAACCACAACTCGTCGCCAAACAGCTCGACTCCCTCCATGCGAAGGATCTCCGGCGCGCACGGTGGAGGAGGAGGCGGCACTGGAGCGGCTGCGATAGGACCCGTTGCAACTGTTGTCGCCTTCTCCTTGTTCTGAATGCTCTGCTCGTCGCGCTGCTTCTTGAGTCTTTCCAAGATCTTTTGGGCTAGAGTCGGCAGCTTCGCTGCGCGAGCAGCAGCCGGAAGGCTACTTGGCAGGGTCTTTTCGGCCATCGCCCGCGCTTGGGCTTCCAAGTCGTCGCCTGCCATGCCTGCCATGGCCACCGGCCAGTTGTTAGCGGCTTAGAGCGGCTTAGCGACCTTAGAATACCTGTCAGTACACTTGATTCCATCTTCACAGAGATCCTGGAGCATCACAGCTACAGCTACAGCTTGCAAGCATGGGCGTGACCGGTGCTTCTCAAGAGTGCTGCCGAGTTTCCAGCCTGTTGTCCTGCAAAAAGTGCCGAAACCTTCAAAAAGCAGAATTCAAGGGGCGATTGGCCTCTACAAACACAGGAAAAAAAACAAGCTGCATAAATGCCAGCGCGTGACGCTCCGAAGCCGAAACTCCATCCGTTTGGTGTCTGGGCATATGGTCCTATGGTCGTCTATGCCATCACCACTGCAACAAACCCCACAACTGGGTTGGTTGCGCGCATGATTCCTGAAGTTGTTGTTGCCGAGCTGCTTTGAACTCAAGCAAAAGTGCAACGCACAGTTCGCCGTGGCTTGAATTCCGCCAGGGCAGGCAAGGCCTGGACAGCCTAGAACCTCGCGGCTTTTTAGAGCCATCAAATCGGAAAGTCGTTTTGGTCTTCATAGTGGTAGCAGAAACCGCTTGGCACTCGAAGAATATGCCAATGCAAGAACACCCAAAGCCCATGTGGGGTAGGTTTCATAAGACAACACCAACACACAAACAAGAGCCGCATAAGTTCGGGCGAGAAAGCATCAACGGAGGTCTCGAGCACGACTAGCCAGTCAAAGTGCTGATTTTCAACTGGTGGCCACCGACAGCCTGCTGCCCCTTCAAGTCGGCCTACTGTCAAGGCCCAAATCGGTCGCCGGCAACAGACTGAAGTCTAGATTCTCATGAAGTGGTCACCATACACGATCTTGGCTTGGAGTTCGGTCAGTTCTGAGCCCCAGAGATCCGGCCAAGGCCCTCAAAAGACTCACAGAGCTACTGCAAGGAGCTGCATACTTGTGCAGTGTGTTGGGCGCCCCCCAATCCCGAAAGAACCTCACACCTTTTATCATCGGAGCTGCCACACGAACTTCTCTTCCTACGGGTGGAACCAGATCCCAATCACGAGTGATTCTGAACACTGTCTAATCCCCACACGGGCAATTTCAGGCGATTCTAGCGGGGTCAATGGTTCGGCCATGTTCGGCCGGGGGGATGCACCGGCGACAATGTATGTTGAAGAATGGTGATGTACCTGATCCGGAACATCCCTTTTTACACCTGTGTACATGTTCGATCAGCACCGAAACATACCGAAACGAGTGGCAAGAAGGCAAAATGCAGCAACCTTTGCTGGGGTTATGACCAGCCTCTGCGCGACATACCCAGAGCGAACTCCAGGCAGGGCACGCGACGACTAGCACAACCCCATCCCATCGCGCGCGCGCGCAATGAGCTGGCATGTCACAGTAAGCTTGTGCCTTTGCGGGAGCAGCAGCAGTCTCTCTTGCATGCTTGCATAATTTCGTATGCCAATCTATTTTGGCTCAAGTGCCTTGCCAACGAGGCGTGCCGATTGCGTGCCGTGGTACCGCGGCTGTGGGCCTGGCCGTTGGCATGCAGTGGCGCGGGCCACGCACGGCCAAGGGCTGTGCTGGTCACGGCCTGCTGCACCGATACGGCCAAAGCTGCCCACCACCGTCTCGTGCAGGCGGAAGTGGCGCCGGTGGGGCCCGTTGGGAGCGGACGCGCGCCAAGTCTCAAACGAGTTGCTGTGCCGTTCGGACGCCAGGAGCACTCGTGTTGCAGATCAGAGCCATTGCTGCGGGACAACGTGGCCGTCAGCTCCAACAGCAGGTATGCCTGTTAGCCAAGCACCCGCGTGCGGCCCGGCTTGGGAACGCAAGAGCGCGCAGGCGCTTGGTGGCAAGGCTGGTAGCAACGTAACGTGCGCTCGCGGAAATGAAGGTTACGAGTTCGCGACGCACTGTGCTGCCAGCCATGCGGCCAATCGCCCAAGCCTCTGT